TCCTTTTAGGCTTCATGATTGCCCACCATATTTAAGCAAATATTGAACTCAAGCTGAGAAAATGGTCGAGTGCAGAGGAGGCCTGCACCGCCCCACCTGCCCTCTCTGGCCCGCAGGGCTCCGCGCTGACTTCAGTTTGCCAGAACCAGCAGTTCCTTCAAGGCAGTGGCAGGAAGTCCTGTCACCCCGCCCAGTGCAGACACAGAGAAGAAGCTCAGCCTCGGCTTGCGGAGTGTTGCCATGAAGGCGGGGCTGCCCCCTCCTGGCGCTGGATAATTCTAACGTGTGCGTTCCTCATCGCTTGTAGTTCGGGTCCACGCTTCAGTGGGTTACACGGCTCTGGCCTCACCGTGCACCTTTCCCAGGACCACTTCCCTGGTTCTTACCGGTGTGATCCGAGGCTTCCGGTGATCTACGTCTGCTTAAATCTTTGCCTTACAGTCTCTCATGGGACTAACCGATTTACTTCTCTCAATCTCAGTTTATGCATGTCTAACACCAGAGTATGAACATCTACTTGGAAAGTCTCTTCAACATTAAAAATAACACAGAAAGTGTGTTTTAAGACCTACCAAGTAATGGGCAAGCCAGAATGCATTAGTTCTTTTTTTTTCCCAGAAAATTTCTAAACTGATTTTTTTTTTTTTAAAAAACAGTACTGGACTCAGGACCTTTTGCAAGCTAAGCAAGTGCTCTAATCCTGAGCTAGACCCCAGCCCTATTTATTTATTAAAAAAATACAAGGTGTTTACCTTCAAGATTAGAAGAAAAAACATGAGAAACAATGCAAATTTTCATTAAACAAAGTAATAGGAATTCAACAATGATTGCTGCATTGCATGATGCTATCTTTAAATTAGTTGTTACCAGATCTAAATCTGAAAAATTGGTTAAAACAAAACAAAACAACACTAACAAAAATTATAAGAAATTAGATCAAATCTCCAACACAGTAAAAAGAAACCCCACAAACTGGGGAACAAATTATAGCCAACTGTCCCTCTGATAGAGGCCTCTGTCTAGAACATATAAAGAATTAAAAAAAATCTGGCCCCCAAATTCAAAGATCCAATTCAAAAATAGGCTTCTGAGATGAATATACACTTCTCAGAGGAAGAAATACAAATGGCAAGTAAATGCATGAAAAAATGTTCAGCATCATTGGTTATTTGAGAAATGCAAATTAAAACAGCATTGAAATTCCATCTCACCCCAGAAAGGATGGCTGTCATCAAGAAGTCAACCAATAACAAATGCTGGAGGGGCTGTGAAGAAAAAGGAACTCTTCTTCACTGTCGGTGGGAGTGTTGACTGGTATAGCCACTGTAGAAATCAGTGTGGAGATTCCTTAAAAAGCTAGGATTGGAGGTCCCATTCAAGCCAGCTATTCCCCTCCTGTGCATTTTTCCAGAAGAACATAAGACCCCATACCACAGCTAGATATATGTGCCCTCCTGTTTATAGCGGCACAATTTGTTGTAGTTACCCCCTGGAAACAGCCCAGATTCTCATCAGCTGAAGAATGGATAAAGAAGATGTGGTAATTTTATTCCATGGAGTATTATTCAGCTATAGAACAGGACAAATTTGAGTCTTTTGTTGGTGAATGGATGCAACTAGAAACCAAACTCTTAAATAAATCAGACCCGTATGTGCAAACATTATATTGTCTCCTTAGTGTGAGAACCTGAAAGAGAAAAACGGTACAATAGATCCTGGGAAAAGCGAATGAACTTATTCAAAAGCAAAGAGTTACTGAGTTGAGGAGAAGGCCAGGAGAGGGGGTCAGGGAAAGAGATTTATCTGGGTAGGTAAGCAGGACGGTTTGGACAACTGTACTGTGGATTTCTGCTGATCTATAGAAAGGAACAGATAATATTTAATTTATTTTGTCTCCTCTTTTCAATTGCTTGTACTTTTTCTCTTTTTAATTTCTTATACTTTTTTCTTTTTTCCAATTTTACAGGCATATATCTGGTAATATGAGTAACATTGGAAGACAATATTAAGTAGTACAACAAATACTGTGAAATTCATATTACTTTATTAAGTGAAATTCTGTATCACTTGTACTTTTTCTGTTTTAATTCTAATTTGTACTCTCTTTAAAAAAAAGAATAGGGGGTCGGGGAGATGGCTCAGTAGAATAAGTGCTTCCCACGCAAGTGCAAGGGTCTGAGTTCAATCCCTGGTTCTGCAAAAAAACCCTCCAAAAAACAAACAAAAAAAAAACACCCTCAACAAAACAAAACAAAAAAAACCCCCAAAACAAAACAAAACAAAACAAAACAAAACAAAACAACCAAAAAACAAAAAATAATAAAAAGAAAAAAATTAAGCATTAATCACCCCTTTCAATAGACCAGAAGAAATCAGCAGTGCAATTATCCAAAATATCTTACATATATACATAAATATATCTTTTCCTCTTCTTTCTTTTGTCCTTTTCCTCATCCCAGTTTTTCCTTCTATTGAACAAATTCTTTGCCTTTCACAGTATCTATCGCACCTTTCGAATTTTATATACTGTCTCAGGTTCTCACATTAGCAAGACAATATGATGTCTGCACTTGCGGTCTGACTTATTTCACTTGACAATACAGTCTCTAGTTGCGTCCATTTATTTACAAAAGCCTCGAACTTACCATTTTTTCAGATAGCTGAGTAAGTTGTCTAGGTTGGCCCCGAAGATGCAGTCCTCCTCCCGCCTCCCCAGTAGCTGGGGTTACAGGCATGCACTGCCGCACCTGGCTTTAAGCTGACTTTACTCTTGAAGGCAAACATACACTTATAATGATTAACTAGGTTTAGCAAATTTGTTTGCCAGCTTTGTGGGGGCACAATTGATAAGATTTGCATAACGTTACAAGGCGCTGTTTCATAATGCGTTCACTGTGGAAACAGCAATGCCGTCAAGTTCATCGCGTGTGGATCAGCTCCCACAGCGGTCATTTTCTTCTGTGTGGTGTTATGTTCTACTCTGTCAACCACTTGCAAGTATGCAGTTGTGTGGAACCACGCAGACTGCTTCAAAGCCCTGGGCCACCTAATGACCCCTGCGGACGTGACCCCGCTCGTGTAGAGCAGGTGCACGGAGGGATACAGTTATGCAGCCGTGACTGAGCAAAGGTAAAGACACGTGAGCTGGTTACGGCAGTAGGTAAGAATGTAAATATGGGATGACAACCTGTGTGAGACTTACACAATAAAGATGCAGGCGGCCGCTGCGCTTTTGTGCTCCTGGCCTCGGTTCTGCCCCACGCTGCCTGTTGTTGTTCCTGAGGTCTTGCACACGTGCGTCCTTTAGCCCTGGCACCTCATTCTTGAAAATCTCCCTCTCCACCCCATCCGGCAGGCCAACAGCAATAAAGCATCTTTCAGTTGCTGTCACAATGTTGTGCGTGACATCTGCAGAACTTACTGATCTTGCATATCTGGAGATGGTCGACAGGCTTAACCTCTCAGCAGCATCTTCAGTGCTGGAGGTCCTTGGAGTCAACACCGCAGAGGGATTCCACGGATCCCCCGGCTGACAGGAGCTCCCCAGAGGATGATCATGTCCCAGACTTCCACTCCTCAGGGAGCCACTGCTAAGCCTTCCATCAGTGACACGTAGGCTCATCCTTAGTTCAGGACAGAACTCCTCAAGCAGTAGCTGATGTGTCTCAGTCTCGTATGAATGTACAAACTTGTGGATGTTTCTCCTCTCTTACTCTTTTCTGGTTTCCCCGCAAGCACACTGTTATTTCCCGTAGAGGCTTCTTACTTGTCCCTCAGGCACAGTAGGTTGTTCCGTTTCCAAGAACCGTTGAGACACCAGGCTCTGCCGAATGTCCACAGACCCGCAGTGCAGCTCTCAGTCCTCAGCTCTGACTTTCCTTAATATTTTGACACCCTTCTGATCAGGGGACAAAGTGCATCATTCTCTTGATAGGTACTTAGGAGAGGAAATTCATGTCAAGATTTGGTTTACATAAGACACCAAGGCCCTTTTGGTGAGCCTCTCTCCAGGGGACACATTAGATTCCCAAAGCTCTTCCTGCAGATGAATTGCAGGAGGGTCCACAAGGCTGGAACTAAAAAACCAAAAAAATGCTTGCATTCGTGAGCGCTGTTAGATGCGGTCCCAGCAGCCATAGCCCGCATCAGCCACTCACAGAGGCACGGGAAGCTAGTTTTGGAAGAGCGTTTTGAGCAGACATGCTATCTACATGAACTCGGGGCCACTCCCTCCACAGTGCAATGGATGTAAATGCGTGTGTTGCTGCAACTGTATCCCAAATGCTTCCGTCCTTGAGACACTAATGTAAGAGCTTTTCAGCAGGAAACAGACCCAATTTTAGATCTTGGTTGGGCTAAGATACATAACATCACACAATGAAATGTCCTTCTGTGAAAATAAACACAATAGGTTTTTGTTTTTTGTAGGAGGGCCGCTCTGAGGTTCACGATGGATAATGCCCATAGGATACAATATGGTGGTCAATTCCATGTACAGAATTCCATAAGATAAAACAAAACACATGTAGAATGAGAAGTGGCTTAGAGTTTATTTTAAAATTTTAGGTGAAAAGGACAAAGAACTAAAGCACTAAAAAAAAAATTCTTGCTACGAGAGTGATAACTCAAAGACTATGCAAAGAAGAAAGCAGGATACAAGACATATGAGTAAGATTAGTGCTCAGTTGAAGAGCCTGCAAAAGCCTTCTCAGGATTCTTTTTGCGAGTTAGAGAAGAGTAAAGAGCTTAACTTCAGCGTCATGGCTGAGAACACATCTTCAAATTGAGGATAGAAAAAGGTGCTCTTCAATCCCCAAGACCAGGAAAAAAGAAAGTCAGGGAAGACCAGGAAAGTACTCTGGACACACTCCAGCTGATTCCCAAAGGTTTAAAACAGTGAGATGAACACATGGCGGCTTTGGAAGTGAATTGACCCCTAAAGAGGCGAGGTAGTTGGCAGAGGTTGTTGTTGGCAGATGGTGGTCCTTCGGGGGAGCCGCTCAGCAGCTGCAGGGCTGGCAGCAGCTGGAGCCGTAGCTCTCGGGGAGGCCGCTGCACAGGTGGACGCACGTGGGGTAGTAGCACCTTCTGGTGCAGTACACGGGTCCGGAGCAGGCCGGCTGGCAGCAGGTGGACTGGCAGCAGCTGGGCTGGCAACAGCTGGGCTGGCAGCAGCTGGACTGGCA